GAGAGAGAGAGAGAGAGAGAGAGAGAGAGAGAGAGAGAGAGAGAGAGAGAGAGAGAGAGAGAGAGAGAGAGAGAGAGAGAGAGCAAAGTATCTGACCGCAACTACGTCCATACTATCTAAGTAATCAAGTCCTACTTTGTTGTGGGTATCACCCAAGTTAGTTACCTGCAGCCCGCCACTTTGTCCGCAAAAAGACCAGTACCCTTGCCGTCACAGCACGCAGCCGATGCCATCGCAGTCAGCTGGATGAGAGCAATCAGGAGCAGCAGCAGGGGAAATTCCCAGGCCGCCGAGAGGGAGACTTGTCGTCGACTTCCATGTCGTTGCTTCCATCCCCCTCCGCCCTCCATATCAACTGCCGCCATAGCTGCGAGCTTCCAACTTGAAGAAGGACGTTGACCACTCTCACTCACCCACCACCTCACCTCCACCTCCACCTCCTTCGTTCCACTTCAAGTTCTCCGTTTCACTTTCGTGAAATTTGAAGCCGCTTTGAATTCCGAAGCGTGATGTTTGCTCTACGCACCAGCGGGGTGGTCGTTGAAGAGCTCCTTCGGCGATTGGCACTCCTACCTCTATGTTTGTTTCGGCGGGATCCATGAAATTCACCGTGTAACCAAAAAAAAAAAAAAAAAAAAAAAAAAAATCACCGTGTCGCCGACCGAAGGCGCCGAAGGCGTCCACACCTTCACCTGAGCAGATCGAACTCACGCTTGAGTGTATATCGGGCATATACGGATATAATAGGCTACGGATTGACTATAGTTTCTCTTACTACGACTACTTGACCCTGGGACCAAGGCCCACTGGCCGGATCCCTCATTTCTGGCCGTTGATCTTCACAATCCACGGTCAGAAATGGAGGATTAGGGTAAGTTCGCAGCCAGTAGGCTGCGTTTTGCGGTGACAACTTTTGTCGTCTAGCGGCCGTTTGCCATTTCCGGCATGTCTATGACAAGTTAGAGGGGTTTACAGGGCGTCGTGCGGTGCACGGGAGGGTGTGGTCGGGGGCAGGAGACGGACCCGTAGTGTGTGAGGTGGAGAAGTTCGAGGGCCGTCGGTACGTGAGTGTGGTCAGTTCAGGTGGTGGTGGTAGCGGTACGTGAGTGTGGTCAGTTCAGGTGGTGGTGGTAGCGGTTCACTTTCCTTTTCGGGAGATGGTCTTTTGGACACTTGACATGGGGAAGGGGGTGTGGGGGAGGGGGTGAATCTGGACGTGTTTGTGGGGAAATTGTGGATAAACATGACTTAAGAAAAGGCAGGTTTTATACCCAAAACCAAACCCCGGGGCCAGGTCCCACTAGCAGCGTTGAGTTTCCTCAACGACTGAATCTGGACGTGTTTATGGATATGTGCAGAAATCACTTCGAGTTTTCTCAACCACACATCTCCACGGGCACGTCCAGATTTATACGTTGAGGAAACTCAACGCTGCTAGTGGGACCTGCCCCCGGCCTGCCTTAGCCTTAGGGAACTTGGGGGTATCGCATATAGCTGCCACCCATAGTGTTTCCTAGGCTGAGCCTCTCCATCAACAAAGGAAAGCCCCTGGCCCTGGCTGCGCCACCACGCTTGGCGTGGTCTAACAGTGGGACTTGCACTCTTGTGGATGGGCAAGATGTCTCCAGTCCTGTCGTCTACGTTCCCCTGCCAATTTTTTGGGGGGGAGGGGGGGAGAATCCCCGTGCCCAACTCGCATGTATATATACCCCATGGAAACAGCCCCGTGGAAACAATTTGCATACCCCCAACAAACCGAGGTAAGGTTTAATTAACCAGGTTGGTAACTACCTGAATGCTTTTTTTTTTTTTTTGTTTTGTTTTTTAGCATGCTCGGGGAGGTTCCATGGGGAGCAGCACCTGCTGGAAAACGGGTCCAGCGTCCCTAGACATGTAAAAATGATTAACGCTGCTAGTGGGACTTGGCCCCCGGCCTTCTTTCTTTGGGAGGACGGGCCACACGCACAGAAATCACATTTTCTGTAAACACGTGCAGAGGATGCAGGCGCTGAATCCAAAAGAAAAAAAAAAAAAAAAAAAAAAAAAAAAAAAAAAAAAAAAAAAAAAAAAAAAAAAAATTTTTTTTATTTATTAAATATGAAAATTTTTTTTTTTTTTTTTTTTTTTTTTTCCTAGAG